AGAAGAAGAAGAAGAAGAAGAAGAAGAAGAAGAAGAAGAAGAAGAAGAAGAAGAAGAAGAAGAAGAGGAGGAGGAAAAGGAATGAGAAGAATGAGACGAAGAAGAAAAGGAAGAATGAGGAGAAGAAGAAAAGAAGAAAAAGAAGAATGAAAAGAATGAAGAGAAGAAGAAAAAGAATGAGGAGAAGAAGAAAAGGAGGAGGAATGAGAAGAATGAGGAGAAGAAGAAAAGGAGGAGGAATGAGAAGAATGAGAAGAAGAAGAAAAGGAAGAATGAGGAGGAGAAGAAGAAGAAGAAGAAAAGGAAGAAGGAGAAGAAGAGAAGGAAGAATGAAAAGAAGAATGAGGAGAAGAAGAAAAGGAGAATGAGAAGAAGAAAAAGAAGAAAAGGAAGAATGAAAAGAAGAATGAGGAGAAGAAGAAAAAGAAGAATGAGGAGAAGAAGAAAAGGAGGAGGAAGACTGTGGGGTCTTATCTGCCCTCCGAGCTTGGCTGGTTTCCTGGCAGACGTTTTGTCACCCAACTAGGGGACGTTACCAGTGCTGGAAGGTTTAGGGAGAGGAGGAGGAGGAGGAGGAGGAGGAAGGCCAGGGCCCTGGGGGCCACTGCCGGCCAAGCGAAGAGGTCACGGGACTCCAAGCGCAGCAGAATTTCCCTTCCTCTTTTGCGGGCGGAGGCCTGACTCTCACGGGGACGGGGGAGTTGCGGTTCGTTTTTGCTCACGGGGGGCCAAGAAAGAATACGACGACAAGACAAGACAAAGAAAAGGCAGGTGGAGGCCCAGAGATCTCTCACACCACACACACACAACACACAACACACAACACACCACACAACACATGACATTTCTCCAAAGGGCCCGCCCCTCTCGAGGGGAGGCCCAGCGGGCTGGTTGGAGGGGAGGATGGCGGGGGGGGGGGGAGAAAGGGGGGGGGCTTGAGGGGCCCCAATGCCCCCCTCCCCACCTGGGGGTGGAGGCTAGTTCTCCCCCCCCTCCCCATCAGCAGAGGGGTGGGGAAGATCCCCCCCTCCCCCCGTGGTGCCCGCCGTTGTCATTAACCAAGTTAAGGGTACTTATTGCCTTTTTCTTTTTGGCAGGCGGTTTCGCTTCCCCAAAGTAGGGAATCCTCGCTTAGCGACGGTTCGAAGTTGCAACACGGCACTGGGGCGGATGTGGGGGGGTGGGGTGGAAAAAAAGAACCGGCGGTGACCCGACCCGCTTTTTGCCACACCGATACGACCGTTGCCGCCTCCTTCCGTCATGGCCCCGGGGCCTCTTTCCCCTTGTTTTGCGACCTGCGGGACGAGCTGGGTACGCTTAGCGACCGGGGGGCGTGATTGAACAACGGCATGGAGAAAAGGGCGTTGAAGCCTCCTCACTTAAGAGCGTGGGTTGTAACTCGAGGACTGGCCTGTCTGAGCAAGGAGGTCCCCAGACAAAGGAAGGGAACATGGAATAGCAGAGATGGAAGGGGCCTCGGAGGCCATCTAGTCCAACCCCCTGCTCAGCACCAGACAAGGGCACGGAACAGCACAGTTGGAAGGGGCCTCGGAGGCCATCTAGTCCAACCACCCAGGGCTTCTCTCCACAGAGAAAAGGGCGTCGAAGCCTCCTCGCTTAAGAGCGTGGGTTGTAACTCGAGGACTGGCCTGTCTGAGCAAGGAGATCCCCAGACAAAGGAAGGGAACATGGAATAGCAGAGTTGGAAGGGTCCTCGGAGGCCATCTAGTCCAACCCCCTGCTCAGCACCAGACAAGGGCACGGAACATGGAATAGCAGAGTTGGAAGGGGCCTCGGAGGCCATCTAGTCCAACCCCCTGCTCAGCACCAGACAAGGGCAAGGAACACGGAACAGCACAGTTGGGAGGGGCCTCGGAGGCCATCTAGTCCAACCACCCAGGGCTTCTCTCCACAGAGAAAAGGCGTCGAAGCCTCCTCACTTAAGAGCATGGGTTGTAACTCGAGGACTGGCCTGCCTGACCAAGGGAGTCTGCTGCCCCATCCTCCTCCTCCCCCTCCCCCCCCAAATTACACACCTCAGGCAGGTTGAGTTTCCCAGGAGATGCAACAGGATCGGAGGGTCCAGTTGTCCCTTGCAGAAAGTGAAGGTGAAGGTGAAGGAAAGGCCGGGAGGGGAGGGGAGGGGAAGGGGAGGGGAGGGAAAGGGACGGCCCCGGGGCCCTGGGGATTGACCCTTGGAACCCATCCTCCCATTCCCCGCCCAGCCTGCGGCCTTGGAACGGCTGCGGCAGGTCATTTCACCTGGACTTCGACCCCGTCGGAGATCTATAAACAAAACTTAATTGGGTGGACATAAAAGGGAGGCGGAGGGGCCGGGCGTTCCAGAGGAACCTTGGCCCACTTGAAGCCCCACTGGACTCCAACTCCGAGAATTCTCCTGCCAGGAAGGAAGCCTTAAGACCCATGGACTCCAACTCCCAGAATTCCCCTGCCAGGAAGGAATCCTTAAGACCCATAGACTCCAACTCCCAGAATTCCTCAGCCAGGAAGGGAGCTTTTAGACCCAGGGACACGAACTCCCAGAATTCCTCAGCTAGGAAGGAAGCCTTGAGCCCCTGAACTGCAACTCCCAGAATTCCTCACCCAGGAAGGAATCGTTAAGACCCATGGACTCCAACTCCCAGAATTCCTCAGCCAGGAAGGAAGAGTTAAGACCCATATACTCCAACTCCCAGAATTCCCCTGCCAAGAAGGAAGCTTTTAGACCCAGGGACACGAACTCCCAGAATTCCTCAGCTAGGAAGGAACCCTTAAGACGCCTGAACTGCAACCCCCAGAATTCCTCAGCCAGGAAGGAATCCTTAAAACCCATGGACTCCAACTCCCAGAATTTTGCTGCCAGGAAGGCATCCTTAAGACACACGAACTCCTTCTCCCAGAATTCCTCCCCCTGGAACGAAGCATTAAGACCAATGGACTCCAACTCCCAGAATTCTCCTGACAGGAAGGCATCGTTAAGACAGACGGACTCCAACTCCCATAATTCCTCAGCTAGGAAGTAACCCTTAAGACCCATAGACTCCAACTCCCAGAATTCCTCAGCCAAGAAGGAATCCTTAAGACCCAAAGACTCCTTCTCCCAGAATTCCCCTGCCAGTAAGGCATCCTTAAAACCCATAGACTCCAACTCCCAGAATTCCTCACCCAGGAAGGAATCCTTAAGACCAATGAAGTGCAACTCCCAGAATTCCTCACCCAGGAATGACGCATTAAGACTGATGGACTCCAACTCACAGAATTCCTTGGCCAGGAAGGAAGCCTTAAGACCCATGGACTGCAACTCCCAGAATTCCTCAGCCAGGAAGGAAGCCTTAAGAACCATGAAGTGCAGCTCCTAGAATTCCTCAGCCGAGAAGGAATCCTTAAAACCCATTGACTCCAACTCCCAGAATTCCCCTGCCAGGAAGGCATCCTTAAGATCCATTGACTCCAACTCCCAAAATTCCTCAGCCAAGAAGGAATCCTTAAGACCCACGGACTCCAACTCCCAGAATTCTCCTGCCAGGAAGGCATCCTTAAGACCCATGGACTCCAACTCCCAGAATTCCTCAGCCAGGAAGGAAGCCTTAAGACCCATAGACTCTAACTCCCAGAATTCCTTCCCCTGGAACGAAGCATTAAGACCAATGGACTCCAACTCCCAGAATTCCTCAGCTAGGAAGGAAGCCTTAAGACCCATGAACTGCAACTCCCAGAATTCCTCAGCCAAGAAGGAATCCTTAAGACCCATGGACTCCAACTCCCAGAATTCCCTTGCCAGGAAGGAAGCTTTTAGACCCATGGACTCCAACTCACAGAATACCCCAGCAAGGAAGGAATCCTGAAGACCCATAGAGTTCAATTCCCAGAATTCCCCTACCAGGAAGGCATCCTTAAGACACACGGACTCCAACTCCCAGAATTCCTCAGCCAGGAAGGAAGCCTTAAGACCCAGGGACACCAACTCCCAGATTTCCTTAGCTGGAAGGAAACCTTAAGACCCATAAACTGGAATTCCCAGGATTCCTCAGCCAATAAGGAAGCCTTAAGACCCATGGACTCCAACTCCCAGAATTCCTCGGCAAGGTAGGAATCCTTAAGACCCATGGACTCCAACTCCCAGAATTCCCCTGCCAGTAAGGCTTCCTTAAGACCCATGGACTCCAATTCCCAGAATTCCCCTGCCAGGAAGGCATCGTAAAGACAGACGGACTCCAACTCCCAGAATTTCTGAGCCAGGAACGAAGCCTTAAGACCATTGGACTCCAACTCCCAGAATTCCTCAGCCAGGAAGGAATCCTTAAGACCCATGAACTGCAATTCCCAGAATTCCCCTGCCAGGAAGGAATCCTTAAGACCCATGAACTGCAATTCCCAGAATTCCCCTGCCCGGAAGGAATCCTTAAGACCCATGAACTGCAACTCCCAGAATTCCCCTGCCAGGAAGGAATCCTTAAGACCCATGAACTCACAGAATTCCCCGGCCAGGAAGGAATCCTTAACACCCATGAACTGCAACTCCCAGAATTCCCCTTCCAGTAAGGCATCCTTAAGTCCCATGGATTCCAACTCCCAGAATTTCCCAGCCAGGAAGGAAGCCTAAAGACCCATGGACTCCAACTCCCAGAATTCCTCAGCCAGTAAGGCATCCTTAAGACCCATGTACTCCAACTCCCAGAATTCCCCAGGCAGGAAGGAATCCTTAAGAACCATGTACTCCAACTCCCGGAATTCCTCAGCCACTAAGGCACCCTTAAGACCCATGGACTCCAACTCCCAGAATTCCCCTGCCAGGAAGGCATCCTTAAGACCCATAGACTCCAACTCCCAGAATTCCTCAGCCAAGAAGGAATCCTTAAGACCCATAGATTCCTTCTCAAAGAATTCCCCTGCCAGGAAGGCATCCTTAAGACCCATGGACTCCAACTCCCAGAATTCCTCAGCCAGGAAGGAAGCCTTAAGACCCATGGACTCCAACTCCCAGAATTCTCCTGCCAGGA